AATTGTGTTCTGTCCCTGAGTTGGAAAAGGGAAATTCCTACTATCAAACAATGACATGCGAAAAGGTTCTTGCACAATCAACAGAAATACTAGTTGTAATTTAAATCTATTGTCATTGACCGCTCACTTTCAACCCAGCTGTGATTGATTACTCTCGATCTCGACAAAATAACAAACTCTTTATTAAGTTTAGAGCAACTAGCATTATACAGACGACAAGAATTTACAATATTCATGTAAGCATTGTTTTATTAATTTTGTTTAAGGAAAACTATTCATAGCAAAGAGATGCTTTGATCAGAATATTAGTACAGATCTCGAATGACGAATGGCGTGAAAAAAGAGCTCAATGACCAAATGTGCAAAGTCTTAGTAAAGTGATGCTAGATGTGAAAACCGCGCAGTTAAGTGTAGAGGCGTGAAGTTACTTTAGGTTGTCAAGAAACGGTAACTATTCAGTTATCCGTTACTCTTGTAATGATAACTACTGAGTTCTCAGTTACCAAGTAACTAGCAATTATCGGGTTGCTTTTAGTTCATTCAGAGTTCCTTTTCAGATCCTTTTGAGTTCCTTTTGTAACGAAAGTATAACTGTCTAAAGGATAGAACAATTTGGTATATAGTAATAGAGAACCTTCGAAATATCTTCTTCGAAGGTGTTCACACAGGCAAGACCATTGTATCAGAACTAGTGCCGAAGTAGTAGTAAGGTGCCGGCAATTCGAACTTCAAGTAAGAATCTTTTTCTGATTAATTCATACATGCTTGGATAGAGCGCGATGAGGTGAGTAAGAAAAAGTGATTTTTAACTTTTGAAAAATGTTTTTACGACCCAAAAATTTGAAATACTTGAACAACCTTTTTTTTCGAAAAACCATTCGTTTTCTAAAAATTCAAATTTCTTTCGGTTCAGAGTTATTTTTCACTTTTTAAACTAGATTTTTCGGATTCAGCATTAAAAACTGAATATAACAACGATGTTTAATTGAACTCAAACTCAAAGTTTGATTGAGCCTGGCTTTGGGAATCCGACCATTGAAAATGACACATGCCTCTCTTGTAAACCTATCTAGGTTTCTTGGTGAAGAAATAATGCCATTTTTTTATCTCATTCGATTCATATTATGATATGATACTTTTATATACTTTTATTGCATAAAAGTTGAATTCTAATGGAGAAGATTGAGAATTATGAGCATAATTCTGAGTTTTTCGTCTCAGATTCTGAAAAAATGAATTTTCTCAGCAAAAAGAAGAAAGAAAAAGCGCTGCATACTTTTATTGCTGATACTTTGATGAATCGAATGAGATAAAGAAAATGGCGCCATGACCGAAATGCATCTGTGTCCTTTTCATTTTGCAGCCTACATGTTTTTATCCACGGAAAAAAACCAACCCCTCACTAAATATTTAGATATTTCGAAATGTAAATCAATAAAAAAGAATTTTCGATATTCGAAAGGGGCCGAAAAACTTTTGGAAAAAATTGAAAGTCGATTTGTTGGAAACAAAATACGTCATTTTGCTCAGAATTTGATGCTGATTCTAACCATATAGTTTTTTCTTCAAAAATTTGGGTAATGAAAAATAGCCTTATCATATTTTGTCCTTTCGCTTTTGTATGATTCATCGACAAAAAATGTTGTGGTAAAAAATTAAATCCCCGAGAACCGCGTTTCATAACCGCCGACAACCGCGCCACTAGCGATTATTTTTTTGGTACTTGAAACATTATATATTATTTTCGTTGCCATACCGTGCATTCTGTCGTATACCGTTACTAAGAAGGGTTAATTATAAATTCAAATATTTTATTTACGTAGCTATCTTTGCGCAGATGTCGTTGCGCAAATGACTTTTGTGTAATCAGTATTTGCATAGGTGTTCGTTTGCGCAACTGTCCTTTTGCCCGATTGTTCTTTGCGCGAATGATTTTGCGCAATTGTAAATTGTCGTGATACCAAGGGGGGAGAAGTGGCTCCGTGAACTTCCCTAGACCTCTGTGGGCTCTCATGACTTCTCAAGATCTTCCGTGGCTCCCGTAGGTCCCTTGGACTCTCATGAACTTTTATGCCGCTGGAAGACGCCAGAACTTCTTGCTGAAGGCTCTTTCTATCGCCACATCGCTTCGACTTTATTCCATTGATAGCTGTTTCGAGGTTGAAATTTGCTCAAAGATAATAGTATAATAAGAAATAATGATTATTACGTATTTAGCAATTTGAGTTTGGACTACAACTATCACTTCAGACTCAAGTTTTTGATGCTAATGTTTCTTTGAAAAATATGTTTTCTTGGCCTATTGAACAATTTTTAACAAAAGTTTTCAATTTGCATACAATAATTTTCTTAGATTCNCTATTGAATTTAAGATGCTGTGCCTTTGGAGTATCTGCTTCTTCTGTACCCAAGCGTCAAAAAGTATCGTCCGATTCATCTAGATTTTTACTCGATTGCAACTACTGGGTAACGACAGTAGAAATCTAGCAATCGGGCGATTGCTTGATTTCTTCTAGTTGCAACTATCGATTTATCACCCGATAATCGATTGATTTAACTATTGCTGGTTACATATGCAGACGCATCTAGTTAAAAGTCCCTTTTCCGACTAGTATCTAGATGGCAATTAGTCGTGTAGCGCCCCATTACAGACGAAATGTATCTAGATTTTTCCCATAGGTGATGTTTGCTGGGGTAGTGTTTTAGTTTATTGACTAATTCGAAACTAATTTCCTGAGCTGGAAAGTAAGTTTATAGTTGTTGAGAGTTAAAAAATAGGGAATTGATGATGACTTAACTAAACTGAAAAATGCACACCATAAACTATATTCGTAGTAGGCTTTATATTTTCGTTTAAGATTAGAGTTTTGTGTATTCTATATTTTCTACTGATCTTTAACATGGCAGCATACTCCACAACAACCACAACCACAATGGATTCGTTAGATCGAAGCGTGTCGAACGCAGCCAAAGAGGCTCTTGATGAAAAATCTTCATTTTGGGCTGGTGTAGAATGGTTTATTAATTTTCTTCGTACAAAAGTCAAAACATTTTTTACTGAACAAATTAAATCTTTACCGATTGTTGGTACATGGGCAGCAAGAATCGGGTCGACTGTAACTGAATTCATCTTTACAGTATTGGGTACATTTGTTAGCTTTTTTAAAATAATCTGTGGCAGTCATAAAGTATGGCAACACGCTCATTTAGTAGCAATGACAGCTTGGGAAGCAAATGCTGATAATGGGCTTTTGGCTCAAATATATGTGTATGGAAAGAAAATGGCCGGATATTTTTTAGAAATCATTAAACAATGTTTTGAACGTGCAATACAAGCGCATGGTTTAGAAATGGATCAGGCTCAAAAGGAGGACATTTCAAAGTTGTTGGATTCATTACTTCAATAAATAACTAAAAAGCTATTTATTTAACAGTACTGAAAAACATGTAAAATTTATATTACATTTAAATATTAAATTCGACGTTTTAATTTATCAAGTTTATATGTAATGTATTTGTATCTTTTGCTTTATAAATATTTAAGAAAAGATTACGAATAAACATGAAGATTGAAGAAAAAATGTATTATTCTGTTTCATTTCCTCAATCAATCGATTATCGGGTGATAAATCGATAGTTGCAACTAGAAGAAATCAAGCAATCGCACGATTGCTAGATTTCTACTGTCGTTACCCAGTAGTTGCAATCGAGTAAAAATCCGTTGCTGTGTGTATGTGTTTAATGTTTACTGTTAAGATGCGTTTCATTTCTTTTCCATCGTCATTTGATGGTCAACATAAGAAAAACAAAGATAACTTTTATCAAATACTCATTACTCATCTGCAATTGTGTTCTGTCCCTGAGTTGGAAAAGGGAAATTCCTACTATCAAACAATGACATGCGAAAAGGTTCTTGCACAATCAACAGAAATACTAGTTGTAATTTAAATCTATTGTCATTGACCGCTCAC